CGACATTTACCATAAAATAGAATAAGTTAACTTTGCTTATGTCTCTTCAATCCATCCTTTCTCTCTATTTTCATTACTTTTTGTCTGAATCACTGCAGTAACCTCCTCCTTCACATGACTTGCTAGATCAAATCTCTTGCTCTCTAAACCATCTCTCTACACTGCTATCTTTTAATACTTTTAATGCAGGATACTAAGCTGGGAAACCTCATGAGAGCCCCCCAGGCTTACAGATCAAGTTCAAGGTCCTTAGCTTGGCATTGAGGCCTTCTAGGTTCTGCCCTATACCTGCAGCCATACTGGACAATTCAACCTTCTCCACAGATGCCACTTGCTTTTCATACCTCCCTACCTTTGCTCATACTGGTGCCCTCCACACTCTCTTAACTATGGAAATCACCAGTGCATTTGGGGCCTTTAAATTTGCTTATAGTATATAGTGCAATTGCCTAAATTGACATCCAATCTTCAGTTTAATTTAGAATCCTGGTGAGTTAAAAAAAAAAAAGACTGAAAGTACTGAATTATTCAGTCTGAAAGATTTACTTTCTATTGCGTTTAGTTTTAGTTTTAGGGTTAAAAGTACTATACTCTCAAAAAAAGCACTATACTCTCAAATGGTTAGGTAGGCTTAGTTCAAATTCTACTTGCTGGAGAAACCCTGTGCACATTTCTTAAAATAAATCATTTCCGCCTTGGGTGTTCATTTAGCACTTACTTACTTCTGTTTATTTCTATTGTATTTGCTGCATTTCTTTATATTTGCTTTCTCTAGACCACACTTTTTATTAGGTTGAGGAGAAACCCCTGGAGCTCTTTTTGTTCCAGAACATCCATTAGTTTTACACGTAGTAGTGGCTCAGTGAATATTTGTTGAATCTGAGCCCCACGATTATTCTAATTAAAATAAGGGGCTATTACTAAATGGTAATTACATAGTTAATTATGAGGAAATATGAGAACAGAGTTATATAGCTAAAGTTAAACTAATTAAAATAAGTATAGGTCAGAATGAGAATCTGTTAAATTCCACCAGAAAACAGTGGCAGATATAGTAAGTTCTTTTATAGCATTACTGTCATATTTAATCATTACCATTAATTAAAGATGGGATTAAATTTAATTTTTGCTTTACAAAGAATCTTTTAGTATAAAAACAAACCAAACACCAAGTTGTGGTTGCACAATTTCTGTCTCCATTTTATCCATCCTGAAGTTGCTAGACCATACCTGAGGTAAGGCTACAAATTCTAGCTGGGATTTGCAGATCTCTAACCAGGCTACCTCAAAATGCTTGCAGTCTTAAATTAGGAAATGGACCACGAGCTGGCTAGACAAGAACTCAGAGCTGTTCCAAACCTCAGTGGGAGCTGAACAAGGACATCACGTTTGGGTAGGAATTATAGTGGCTCAGTCACAACACTCTCTGTTGGCTACCTAAACCTTTCAAGTCCTCAATAAAAATTTGGTGATTAGCTCACTTCATCGTCTGACTTTTTTTCCCAGCATAATTGTTGGCTGTGATTGGCAACCACCTCTTCCCACTAGGTGGGAGGCTGGGCTTGGGAAAGGAGGAGAACCATTCCACTGACACAAGGAAAAGCTCCGCCCAGCTGACAGAAAGAAGCAAATGGTGGTTTAGAAAAAACATTCCAAAAATTGCTCAAACATGATTACAGGTTGTCACTAAGAAATGAGGAAGGAAGGGCTTTCTTTTTGACTGCAGGGTGTACAGCTCCACGGGCAGAAATTATTATTTTATATTTGGGCCAATCGTAGTCTGCAGGCCTTTGAAATGTAAAAAGCCATAACAACTTAAGTACCTGGTATGACTGCAAAGCATCAGGAGAGATTACACAGGCCATCTATGAAAACCAGACTCCTGACTTTATGACATCTTGAATTTTGTGTTTCTGAAGTCACTGCTGTCAGATACTCAGAGTGCCAACTCTGGACAGACACTGGAAATGGTAGAATTAGACAGTGTCAAGCCAAGGAGATCTAACTGGGCTCATTGGGTAGATAAAGAGAGGAGACCACGGAACAGTAAACACAACCAGCTGCACATACTGAGCTGAAATGAGCAACACAACCCACAGACCATTCAGGTATTCGGAGGAGGCAGGAGCCTAATAGGAAGAGGCTTTCCAGAGGAAGGAAAATAGAATTCATGAAAAAATACATTCACTAAAATAAACTTGATTTCACTCTACCAAGTGAAGAACTTGGTTGGAGCTTAAAACCTGTAAATGTTTGCTCTTGCTTTGACATTTGGGAGACTGGGGAACTCATCTATAGCAGAGGCAGCCTGTGATGATGTTTCATGGTCATCCCCTGTTTCAGTTTGCACACCTCCTTCTCATACCTACCCATACTTTTTGAAATAGCTGAAGCATGCTAAGAACATGTTTCTCTGCAGGTTCCACATCACAGGTTCGATCAACTGTGATTTAAAAATATTTGGAAAAGAATGTTTTGCATCTGTATTGAATCTGCAGAAACTTTTTTCTTGCCATTATTTCCTAACAATAGAGTGTAACTATTTATGTAGCATTTACATTATATTAGGTATTATGAATAGCTTAGAGATGATTTAAAGTATACAAGAGAATGTGCATAGATTATATACAAATATCATGCCATTTTATATAAAGTACTTGAGCACAGCACAGTGGGGTTTTGGTATCCATAGGGGTTTTGGAACCAATCTTTGGAAGCTACTAAAAGATGACTACCTACTGATATGCATGCAGACCCTCCCCTTAGCCATGCATGCCAATGATCTTTTACCACGTATTATGGATGTCTTGAAAATATAATGCTGAGTGCAAAAAGTCAGAAAAGGATACATATTGTATAATTCTACTTACACAGATGATCTAGAATAGGCAAATTCAGAGATAGAAAATAGATTCAAGGTTACCAAAGGCTGGATCAGGGGGAAGGTGGGGTGTCACTGCTTAATGACTACAGAACTTCTGTTTGGGACAGTGAAACATTTTGGACATAGTAATGATGGTTGCACCACATTGTGAATATAATTAATGCTACTGAAATGTATACTTAAATTGGGTAAGAGAGTAAATGGTATGTTTACTGTATATTCTATTACAGCTTAGAAAATGAATAATGTGATATATTGGAAACCATTGAACTGCACACTTTTTAAATGGGTAAATTGTGTAGCATGTGAATTATATCTCAATACAATGTTAAAAAGAACCCATAGTGGATATAGGAGTAGAGGTGGGTAGGAGGAATAACATCTAATGATCTGTAGCATAATAAGGTAAGTATGGTTGACAGAATTTAATTGCATATTTCAAAATAGCTAGTAGAGAGGATTTTGCACACTCCCAATACAAAGAAGTGACAAATTTGGAGGTGAAGGATATGACAACTACTCTGATCTCATCATTACACATTATACACGTGTATTAAAATATCACATTCAAACCCATAAGCATGTACAATTATGTATCAAAAAAATTAAAGATCTTTATGTATTGATAAAAAAATATCCTACATGTTAGCATATTACTTTGTTATCATGTCAGGTTCTGAATGTTGTTATAGAAATTTACCAAAGCTGCCAGGAGGGTATGGGATAGGAGAGAAAATGCGGGACTGACAGTTCGAGAAATGGGAGCCCAGGCCTTGGTCTGACATTACACTGGCCATGGCTTGTGAGCTACTGAATAATCAGCTTCCCTGGGCTCTTTCCTCATCTGAACAAAGCAGCAGGATCAGGTGCTTGAGTTTTGAAACACTATGAGTCACACTTCTTACTGAGTTTACAAATAATGAATAATCCTCTGGCAGTTCAGAACACAGAGCAGACTTCTAATGTTTGAGAAACCTAGTTAAATGGTTAATTTATTCTCTTGTAATGAATATTTATTCAAATCATGTTTTAGTTTAATTTTTTTTCTTTTTTTTTTTTTTTTTTTTTTTTGTTTCAGTGCTGGAGATCAAAACCAGAGCCCCACACATGCTAAGCAAGTGCTTTACCACTGAGCTACATCCCCAGCCCGTGGCTTGATCCTTGTTGAACACAGTTAATTAACCTGAAAAGTATGGTAGGAAGCCACTGTCACAACAAAACAAACAACAACTTTTAGTTTTATGTATCTTAAAAGTAGGCTGGCGCAGTATCAGTAACCAGAAAAATGTCAAAAAAAATATTGGCTTTCAATACACACTTGCTGGAGTGAAAAAGAAATTACATTTACTGCTTAGGAAATGCTCCCGGGTCTGGGCCAGATAAAAGCATTTCAAAGGACAGCCGGCCAGCTCCAAAATCCCCTGGGAGTTTGCTACTTCTGGCTGCAGACTTGCTTCCTCAGCTGGCTCTGTGTTTTCTCCCCCCAGGCCAATCCACAAGACCCAAAGTTCTCTAGATATCATTAAGGAATCCAAGGTCTAGACAGAAGAGATTGAGGTCAGGCATTTCAAAAAGTATTTTATTCTAACAAAATCATATTTCAGAAGGGGACCACAATAGCATACTGAAACCAGTTAATAAGAGAGCTACGTACCTGTCCCGGTTCTATTGTTGCCTCAAAACAATAGTTACAAAAAAGGAAAATAAAAATAATTAGTGGGGAAACCCAGAAGCTAACTACTTCTGCCATTTCCCATACCAGAGGCAATGAAGTCGTATGATTTGGACTGAAAGTTGCCAAAAGCCAGAACACTTTTCTATTTTACTAGTCGAACACAAATGCCACCGAAGTATTCCACCTTTAAATACATGCTTTTGAAGTAAAAGAAGGCAGAAATCATTGAGTATCTTTTTCAGTGTAGCTACTGAGTCTTTGATGAGCAGAGGAAAATAAATCTCCTACAAGTGAGCTAGCCACAATTTATAATAACCCAAGGAGAAAAACAGACCCTCTACTTATCAATTCTACTGGAGGGGGGAGCTTATAAGCTCATAATCCCCTCCCCAAATCCCTTTGAAAAAGTCAGTCAGTCACATCATAGTGTCACAAGCTTACCCTGAATCCGAATTCCACCTTGTCTCTGTGGGACAGGGAGTTTTGACCCAGCTCTTCGAGGGGAGCTGCGATTCCTCCACCCTCGGACCAGAGTGCCCACCATGGTGGCTGACAGCATGGTCCCAGCAGCCGTGGTCCTGCTAGGGGTGGTGGGCTGCCTGGTCAGGCTGCCCTGGCGGCAGGAGCACGTCCTCCTTGAAGGTGCTCCACCCAGGCTGACAGGCCTGGGCAGTTCCTCCTGTCTCCATCCTCCACCCACATCCTCGTCCTCTGGTGCTGTGAGACCTCCCTCAGGAGGCCCAGGGAAAGTTTGGGAGATGAGACAAGAAAAAACTGACAGCAGCAAAAATAAAAATGAAGGCTAGGGATACAGGCAATCGATAGAAGAGAATGGCCAGTCTTATGACATGCCAGCCTCCTTTATATGAGCGATTATTTTTGATTCTTCATTTCAACAGTCATAGGTGACAGTGTGTGAGGGGTGGGTGTGACATGTACCTGTGTCCCTATTTGTCTTTGCTCAGCCTGTTTTCTCTCCTGCTGTGGATCCACTTTCAGGCGATTGCTTTTCCAAAGAGAACCATTCTTCTACGTACACAGACTTTGTTTACACTACATGAAAGTATTACTAATATTCTGTGTGTTCACTCGAAGAGTTATATTGGCTTTTGAGGGTGAAGAAAGTTGGTTAAGAGATGTAATAAAAATTCACAAGCACTTAAACTCATAAAGCCTTTTTAAAAATGAATTGCTGCCAGTGACCTAATTATCTCTGCTGCTGAGGTAGCTGGAGTGACCTCGCCCTGAGTAGGTGGTACCTGAGACACACTCACGTGGCACTGTGTTCACAGAAGCCTCCGACTGGTCAGGATGCCAGGTGTGCACTGGTGAGAGACCTGTGACCGACAGCATTAGAGTGGTAGGAAGGCCAAGGGGTTCTAGAAAGTTCTAGAAGTCCTAGTATCTCTGCATGGTGTATTCCTTCAGCCTATGTGGTAAAGACTAAGACTGAATTAATTGTAGGCAGGCTTGGAGGTTTCCATATCTGCTTTCGTTATGACTTTTATGACTATACAGTATAATCCATACCAGACTTTACCCTGTGCTTCCTTCCCAAGTTACACCTTTCTTAATTTAATAAGATCAAGGCTACTTCTGCAAGAGGGGGGCAGACTCCCCAAAACTCCCAAAATTGATCATTTTTTTTTTAAAGGTTAAGTTTACTAAAACGAAGTTTTAAGGCTATATACTTTACATATTTATTAGGTTGACTTTTTCCTTTATTATTTTGACCTTTCCCAAATGAGAAAAACTTCAGTATCGTTGTAGATAGGGGGAAAGTAGAAATGGAGGACGGGAACCCAAAATGGTACAGGAGGAGGAAGCTGCTGACTCTGTTCCCATCTTACTTGGAGTTCTTTATGGTCTTAATCCTGATGCTCTGCTTTCACCATAACTGTGTTTTCTGTACCCTCACCCTGAGAATGGGGCCAACGGTGGGACCCCGGGCGGTGCTTGATTATGGGGAGCCGGGGGCAGCATGTGACAAGAGGTACAAGTCCTGTTCCCCCATGTGGGGTGCGTCTCTTCCCTTTAATAGTGTGTTTCCCTTTCCCACGGGCAGCTCCTTGTGCCACAGTTGGCTGGGCTGAGCTGAAAGCTTCAGGGAAGAGCTGTGCGTGGGGCAACGCTACCTACCTGTTAGGGAAAAGGGCAAAAGGCCTCCAGCAACCTCAGCCTGCTGTCATATGCAGAGTCACTAAGACAGGCCCAACCTGCCTCCTGTGGGGCCACTCCTTGCTGGGGTGAAGCAGCCTGCACAGAAGCAGGGCAGAGGGCCCAGGATGTGGCTCGGCAGCCATCTCAAGGTATGGGCCAGTGTCACTCATCAGGGGACAGGAGCAGGAGACAGGAATCTGGAATCACGTATCTTTTTGGAACTTTGTGTCCCAATGTCGGGGACGGAATGGGCCGGGAGTGGAGAGTTAGGGATTCTAGGAGATACAAGGCACACAGGAGCCACCATCAGCCCCACCCTCAGGGTGAGGGTACAGAAAACACAGTAACGGTGAAAGCAGAGGATCAGGATTAAGACCATAAAGAACCAATACTTAAGGCCCTTCCTATTGTGCCATTGTCGTCTGAGTACTCGACCATTACTGCAGCTACATATCTGAAAGCCTGTCCCCAGAAGGCTACTCAGAAGTCCAAGATGGGAGGCATAGTGCTTGTGGCCAAGGCCATCCTCAAGTCACAACAAAGTGGCCAAATTCAGACACGGAGATCCCCGCAGGGCCCCCTGTTAACAGTTGCCCAGGGATCACGGAAGGACAGTATGTGAGAGAGGAAGGAGGCAAGTGCAGCCGGCCCAACCCACCCCTGAAAGCCCTGCTAAGTACAGTCGTTGTGCTCGCACCACCTCCTAGGCACCTAAACAGAGCCCTTCTCGCACACTGCTGTGATCACTGCTGGGCGTTCTGCCCCTGACCTAACTAGGCCTTAGAAATACTCTCCAGGGGAAGGACAAGGAGGGGCAAAAGTGGGAGGGGAACGAAGGGCAGAAGGAGGAGAAGGGTGAGGGGGAAAGGGAGGAGAGAAAAGAAGAGGAGAAGAAACACTGTACACAGCCCTGGGTTTACCCTAACATGGCTCCTCTGTGAGGTCTCAGTGGTGTCAAGGAGTCCACGGTTAGTAAAGCTTCCATGTTTTCTCACGTTACCAGCCTGGATTTTATGTCTCCTTGAAGTCAGGGACCAACATCCTTCGCGACTGCTGCATCCAGCACGATATATGCAGCCAGTTCATGGCTTGCTGAGTGGAGAGAACCCACCCCATGGCTGGGAGTCTGGCCACCCTCACCCCTCCTCCCCACACCCACCAGGTTGCCTGGTGCCTTTGTCTCTCCCTGCAACCTGCCTGCTTGCCCCGACCCAACACCACACTGGTGGCGGGCAGCATCCCTAGTGTCTCCTTGTCTTTGCTCCCCACGAGGCCTTCTCAGCCTGCCCACAGTGGCTTGCCAGTGATGTTGTGGCCCAGAACGAAATATGTCAGGGCTGCAGTATCCTGCCCATTCCACCCCACACAGAATGGCTCCATCTTTGCGTCAGATGCTTTGCTTCCTGAACACACTGAAGAGGAGTCTGTAGGTAAACGTGATTCCGGTTTAACAGCAGCGTGCACACTCTGTGGCCCTTAGCTTGCTGGGGACAACAGGTGGGACACTCAGTGTCCAAGGCCCTCAACCCCTCCGCCCCAGGAAGCTGAGCAACGACTCTGACTGATGAGAGAAACATGGGCAGGAAGAGGAAGGAGAGTAATGTCCTGCCTGTGAGGTCAACCCCACCCTTCCCCCTCATACAAACGTACTTCCTCGAACAGACCCCACTATGGGCGAGTGTGTTCCTCCCCCCAGCTGCAAAGGGAAGCTGCCTGATGGCGAGCACATGAGGTCATCTTCCCCCCTGAATCTGCTCCGTTATAAGCTGGTTCTCTTCTCTTAGAAAGGGATATGTGCAGGACGGAAACATACTTTTCCTTTAGACAGGATATCCAGAGATCCAGGGTCATTGTGAAGGCCATTGTGGGCTAATGGGGTTCATAACAAACTGCAGTTCATAGGCATATGCCTCCAAGTTCCTGTGAGGCCCATGAACTACCAATTTATCCTCTGGATTTCAACAACACTCAGCTCTCCAGAGGACGGGGGCCAAACTGGGCCATTTTTAATCTTCTTTGTAATCTCTTAGGACCTGATAGGGCTCTGGGCACTCAGGGACACCTGGCAAATGCTGGCTGGCGTTTGGCACCCAGTTGTGATGACACGGTTGTCAACTGTGACAATGTGCGCTCAGCCACTGGAATTAAGCAGGACTTCCCTCTCCGTGGCAGGTACCTGACCTCCGCCTATGATGGCCGGAAGGAGCTGCAGAAGCAGGGGTGGGGCTATGTGGGGAGCACGGCCCCTCAGTCCTGAGATTCCTGTCTATCTGGCTGGTCTCTGGTGAACCCCTGTCTACACTTCCCTTGGGGCAGGAGTTAGGAGGTAGCCTGGCGAGTGTTCAGGGAGAAACTGGCATAATCACAGCTGAATTCTCTCCCTCATCTGGCGGAGAGCTGCCGGCCGGCCGGCAGCACATGTTTCGCGTCAGTTCCTGACGCCTTCAGTCTGCCAGGTGCGAGCTCTGCTGCTGTGTGGGGACAGCCGCCCCGCCTCAGCCCGTGGGCGGGAAGGCTCCTGCTGGAGTTCGGTATGTGGCTGCCGCCTGCCACAGACACAAGATACACCCTCCACCTGGCGGCCTCCTGCCTTTCCTGCTCTCAGACTGGTTCACAACCTGGGTAGGAAGAAACGATCTTTGTTGTTTTGACCCCAAACCCCAGCATCTGGCAGACTGGCTCCTGGACCTAGTGGTCCAGGAGCAAAATAGCTCCTGAAGATTGATGCTTCTGCCTGATGCTGTGCTGTGAGCGTGGGTGATTTGTTTTTGCCTTGGCAACTTGCTTCATGCTAACGCTGCCAGTCTCGAGCTGGCTTTCATTGGGACCCGGTGAGGAGCTCAGGTGCGATTTTTGCTTTGGCAGCTGACTCAGCTAAGATGATTCTGCCACTGATGAGTAGCTCATTCCTACTGTCAGGCATGCAGACAGCACAGCCCTCACAAACAGGGCCCAGGCTTGGCCTTTAAGCAGATGGCCGGGTGGCCTCAGCAAGGGTGGCTGAGCCTCGTGGCGGTGTGCAGGTGACTTTACAAGGCAGCCTCCCTTGGGTAACCCCCAGCCTACACAGGTGCAGAGCTTCTGAAGCAGGTGCACCGAAGCAAAGCATCAACGCCAGGAAAAGGAGTCTTTGTGTTAATAGACTGTTTAGACATCGGGGATGGGACAGCATCAAAGCCAGTAAGCTCAATACACATGGCACAGTGAGCTGGTGGCTTTAAGTTACAACTCTTGGTCTGTGCAGCCACATTTGATTAGTGCCGCAAATTCCATTTTGCATTCAAGGCCAAGAGGAAACTGAGGAGGGACAAAAGTTAGGTACAGGTGGCTCGCCCCCATGTGTGAGTCTCTTCATACTAGCTGGCCTTGCTCGACTCTAGATCATTGGGTTCTCTCACTCAGCGTCTACTGAGACTCTGCTCTGGACTTGGCAATGGTTTTTGGATCAAAGGACTGTGTTTAGGGAGAACAGCTCTTGGGGATAACT